GAGAAAGAGAAAGAGAAGGAGAAAGAGAAAGAGAAAGAGAAAGAGAAAGTAAAATCAAAGCACCACAAACCTGAAAATGATTCCAATTCAAAAAAAGCTGATAAAGAACGAGTCAATGAAGAGAAAAAGAATGACGAAACGAAGGAGAAAAAGCCAGACGAGTCGAAAAAACAAAAGTTGCCCGAGAAAAGCCATGAAATAGAGCACGCAACACCAGTGATTCTAGCCCATTTATTGACGATCTTGCATAGCCGTGAACTTACTCTAGTGCTTTTGGCCTGGTTTGTTTTTGGCACAATAACCACTGCGATTATTTACAAACTCAATCTCAAGCGTTTCATGTACTACATTTCCTGTGTGCTGAGTTCAGTGTTAGCCGTCACCGGTATAGCCCATTCATTCAATTTCCTTTCGGGCATTTTACACTTTTGTTTAATCGTCTATTTCAACTATGTGACCATACCGATCGATGTGTTCGGACATTGCATGCTTGCTGAAGCCTTTCCAGTCACTTTGAAAGCTTTTTCGATTGCGTCTGTTGCAATCATTGAGCACACTGTTCACATCATAGTGATTACCTTGTATCTTTCGGAATGGTTTCATAATGTCATTCTTCTATTCATGTGCATTGTTGCCTTTGTTTCACATGAAATTGCTCGAAATCTCCCGCAAAAAGATGGACTCACTCTAGCCGAAGCTCGGGAACAATATCAAAACGTTGAATTAATGCTGTTCAGCGATCCAAAATCCGGTTATGATCAACAACAAGAATTCATTTAAAACATGTATCGAATGAATTGAATAAGGTTCACCCAGACTAATTTATAACGTAAGGCTTTCATATTTTAGCTTTTGAATAAATCAATCTGCATATTCTATTAATTGTGGTTTGTTTGGCAGATTGAAATAAATGATACGAATGAGTAATTTTTGTGGATAAATTTAGATTATTGATTAAACACATTGAATATTTCTAAATGAGCATTCTACTCTTGGGCCTTAGAGAAAGTGAATATTGTACCGTATGCTGTTTGTTATGAACCAAACGGAACAAGCGAATTCATCAAATGAAGCGACTTGATTGTAAATTAAATACTACTAATCGAAAATCGTTTTAAATGTATGAAATAAACTTAATCATATTTTATTCTAAATTAGATATTTTATAGAACTAAATTGTTGTGTTTTATTTCCGAGTAAAATTGAATCAAATGAAAGAAACGTTATCAAAGTCATTTCTTGCGTCGAAACGTGCCGAAAGCGAACACAGAACTGGTGATATGCATTTTACGACGTTATTTCGAAACGATGTAGAAATTGACCAAAAGAACTTGGAAAAAGCAAATGGGATGATGTCGAAAATGGTACTCGAGGTCATCTGATATAAACTACTGCCCACATAGGACCGGTCAGGCTCCAATTTGGATCAAATTATAATGAAATATTAGTATGACACATGTATTTTGAATAAAAATTCTTGGAACAAAGGATTGTTACAACGACTCTGATACATTTAAATATGAACAGGTAAAATGTTTATCCAAGCAATTTATAATGTTTAGAAAGATGATCAGTTGCTTTGTTATTGCTTCGATACAGCTCCGTTTCTTTTGACTAGTCTGTATCAAGGTGAAATATTTTACTTTTTTCACATTTTTACATGCTTCGATGGACAGTTTCCTAAATACTAATTAATACCTGTCTAACGTATCCTAAATAGGATCTCCGTTGTGCTTAATGTATGTGTAGAATATCAAAGGCGGATTTGAAATAACTGAAAATTCATTGATTATGAAAAATTCCTAAAACTTTTTCAAGAAAGGAGTCTTGACCCAAAAAGAAAACGGAAAATCCCGAAAAGACAAATATGCAAAAAATCATATTGAATAGATGGATAATTGCAGATGTGCCGTACCATCAGTATGCATTGAATTATTATCAATGTGAATCATGGTTGTTTAAAAGTGTTTTTTATGGTTATGACGCATTCTACTAATAAAAAAATGTCAAAAAAGCAGTGTGTACAGCGTAGTAAATCCAGTATAATAGTTCATTGATTTTTCCTCTTTATTTAATTTATATTACATAATAATCAATACCACATAGATTAATTTTATTTATTAAGAGGTTTAGTTAAACAGTACAATGTTCAAGACTAATGCTATGATGTTTATCACTATAGTTTATTTCAATTCGAATTCATGAATTGAAAAAAAAGACTGTTTTCATCTCAATCCCTTGTATGCATTTTTTAGAAAAGTTTTTCTCACGCTATTTCAAAACAAATGAAAATTGAAGAAGATACGCTTTGTAGACATATTGTTTGTTAGCAGAGGTTGTCGCGCAGTGAAAGTGCAAGTGTGCAATCGAATGACAGGTCATAGTTCAAATTCTGTTGTTGACTTAGACTTATTCACATTTGCGCTATGGTTTGTTCAGCAGTGTACATACAAAATAAAGCTGCATAGTTGAGCATACAACTACACATAGAGAATCGTTTGATACGCAGAATTAGTATGAACCACACACATTCGCTATGCAAATGTAGTGCTTCTGCTGAACTTCTTGTGTGCTCAACTATGAAGCCTTATTTTGTGAGGAACCAATACCCAATAAACAAACGTATTTCATACTTTCATATCGTTTGTTTGTCTCTTTTGGGCAAATTTCTGATGATTATCTCAATCTATATGCGCGCTTCATGTGTGTTTCGATTGAAAAAAATTCGTGAGATAAGAATATAAGTATGTGGTAAATGTGGCATGGTATGTGTGTAAATTAAATGTACATTATCTGGCACAAATGAAACTGTTAATCCTTTTTCTCAACTCATTCGTTGAAAACGTTGCGTTAGTCGACTCATTGTATGTAATGCGGTTCACATTGCAGCTCAACGCCTGCATGGATCTTCAATCAATACGAGTGTTCATCGATTATTATTACTGATTCACACATAAAAACAAGGAAAATAATCAAACTCTGAAAAAAACAATAGCCGCGTTTACTTGTTATTTGTTTGCTTGCAGTGCGTGCGCGACAACGTCCATTATGTCTTATTTATGCTTTGAAATTAATACAGATTAAAGTTTTTAAAATGAAATCTTCAACTCATGATTCGTTTTTTTTCTTCTTCTTAGAAATCGGCCGGTTTTCTTTTTCTTTATATTCACAGAAATTCAAAGTGATTAACATTCGAACACCCAGTTTTGATTGTTTGAACATGGATTTATGGAAAGTAGCGAGAATGTTTCTTCTACACTCAGCACTCATATCATTTAGTATAGTTTGCATTACAAATACAGTTTTCATTTATTTTCGTTTCTTATTCGTGCCAATGAAATTATGCGTTTGATTGTTGCTCGAAATTGCAACAAACGAGAGAATAAAAACGATGATTATTTACTTAGTCCACTTTGACGACACTGTAGATTTTCCGAATGAACCAGAAACAGGCCAGAAAACCTATTGAACCGGTCATTAGGAAAAACAAAAATACCATGATCAGAGTATATCCAAAGTATAAAAATGTTGATGCGGTATCTTCGATCGATAGTTTGGTTGCAAAGTAATGGCAACAATAAATGAACAGGTAGAATGCTGTACAGCCAGATGTTAAGAATGATCGCCACCACCAGTGATAGTCTTCGGCGCATAGATGGAAATAGCACAAGAGAATCGTTGTCTCGGAACAGGTGATCACCAGAATCCAAAAGACCAAAAACAAGAAACCGAACATGTAATACATTTGGCTGGACCACAGCGAGTTCAAAATGAAGAACAATTGGATGAAAATGCATCCAAACGGTAAGACACCGCCCATTATGATACCGGGTATTGGTTGTGTGTAGATCGATTGGTCGGGAATTTGACGTGGAATCTGATTTGTTCGCACGGGATGTTCCAATGGCTGAAAAAGAGAGAAGAATGAACGGTTTTTGAGTAAAATAATTAAAATTGAGAAGGTTATTGTCGAAGAAAGAGAAAAATTTGAAGAAAAACTCGATTTGAAGAGGCAAAGTTATCAATAAAATATCAATCCGAGGAGACAAGACAAAAAATGGATGAAATACTAGGAAAATTATTTGAAAAAACTTACCCGTTTTCGGAACCCAAGGTAGGCACCAACAAATGTCAATGGCACAGATACACAGAACCATAAAGCCAGCAATGCTACAAGTGTACTGAATGGAACTGCTCCCGAACTACCCTTGCTCCAAAGCACCAAATTCATGACGAAGAATAGTCCAAACACCACCCTATCAATGAATGAAAGTTGCAAGTTAATGTTTAATACTTTAATTCTCTCTGAAGTTTCGTCTAATTTTGTGTTAATTGGCAACACACTAAAGTGTCAAATGTTCTTACCCTGGGCATACAGTTGAAGTCAATAGAACATTGCTCTTCCATTTAATACCACCGAAGCTCTTGTAAATCCGTGCCGATATATAACCAGCTGGCGTTCCCAACAGAACGAACAGAACCATTGCACATGTCATCAGAGCGCCGCGATTGGCTGGCGACAAAAATCCAAGGCATGCAAAAGCCAATGTGACCAATGTCATGCAAAACACTTGAGCACCCGATCCCAAGAACACTGACAGCAACATTCCTTTGCGAGGTGGACGGAACACATCACCGTGAACCAATTTCCATCCGAATTCTTCTTGTGCATCTTCGCCGCAATCCATTTGATTATATCGGGCAATGTCTTTGTGCAATGTTCGTAGCATTATCATAGCCACCATTCCGGACAGGAACAGCACGATGACTAACGAATTTAGAATACTGAACCATTGGATGCTTGTGTGTGGCATTGATTCGAGAATATAATCCCAACGTGATGACCACTTGACAGAGTTGTCTTGAACAAATTTCACGGAGTATGTGTAGGTGATGTTAACGTTCTGCTTTTCAGATTTGGATGGAATGGCTAATGGTTCAGCAAGGTTGCTACAGTCAGGCTTGTCTGGATTCACATGGTTGATTGAGGCTGGATCGACTTTCACGGAAATGATTCGACCACCATTTGCACCGAAACTACCACCCCAATCTTCAGATAAGCCACTGTGGTATGTAATCGTTAGGCTTACGTGATTGAATGGATAGTAGGATCCTGGTTTGTTGTATTTATTGCTGATTGGGCATCCTTCATACTGTAAATTCAAGATTTAAATGGGTGAATTTTTTTTTCAATGTACGTGGCGGTGGTTTTCATTCACTTTTTGATTTTTTTTTTAATTTTAAGTTAGGATTTTTCAATTTGGAAATGTCAAATTCAGAATTTTCAATTTGAAAATTTCGAATTTTAAATAGTTGTGGGAAAAAATGAGGCATATTTACACTTTCGGAGTGAAGACGGAAGAAGCAACCCATGGGGAAACCAATGCTGCAGTACTTTTTCTTATTTTCCAATGGATAACACCATGTTACTGGCATATTATCGACGATCCAATGATGTTGATAATTCAAGCTCATACCCTTTCGCAACGTATCCAGTCGTTTCTCAGCCTCTGAATCGCCTTTTGGATATGTTTTTGTGCATACCTAAGATTTGGAATTGCAAATTTAAAATGAAGTTTCAAAGGAAAGTCTTCGTTTTTTTTATTTGATAAAACACGAAGGGCTTGCGACGCCTGAAATACGCCATATTTTCATATATTTCTATATTTCAAATATTTCAAATATTAGATATATTCAAGGCATATTTCAGCTACATTTTTGACGTTTTTTGGTATTATCCGATATTGTTGTGGCTATTTCTATTTGAAATATTCCTCTCAATTTTCAAATATGCAAAATATTTGAAATATAGCCAAATATGTCAAATATACGAAATATTAAGATGCATTTTGTGATTAAATAATGCTTCAATATTTGAAATATTTGATGTATTTGAATATATTTGGAAATATTTCACATATATTTGTTTGTCGCAAGCCCTTCGATAAAACACAACACTTCTTTCGCACATAAATAAACTGGTGGAATGTGAATTGTTGGGCTCACAATTATTTGCACTTTGAATTACAAGAATTACCTTTTGACAATTGATATCCTTCAAAAATTCAATTTTGTACGGGCCAGGTCGAATACGTTCGCCAAATACCACTTGGCCCAAGTTTTCCACCGGTGAATTTTCTTCATCGATGTGACAGAAATCGAAATGATGATATTCGTACGGTATCACCGACTCTTCTGTATTCAATCGATTCACATATAGCGTGACGTCTGACTGTTTATAATAGAAACAAAGAGAAAACAACTCATACAGATAAATGGTTTAAATAAAAATAGCAATTACGTTTTATCTGAAGCCAAGTCGAAATATTCAGCGTAGTTAAAGAATAACGGTTCGGGCAGAAAACAATTGCGATTTGTTCTCATTCGAAGAAAATGTAAACAACGATATGTGTCATTCATACTTATTTGATGCTTGATAGAGAAATAAAAGGCACACAAAAGTCTGGTGCAACAAATGTGGGTACATTTGAACACTCTGATTTCGGCGATAAAACCAATTATTGTATACGTAGCAACCGAAAAGTATTTCTTATTAAAAACATTTTATCAAAAAAGCGATAACACAAAAGTATGTTCACATGTTACGCTTGTGTGTCGTATTTCCTTTCCCAAATCACTTGAAAAAAGTGAAATAGAATCCATTACAAAAAAATGGTAGATCTATAAAATTCGCGTGCATCAATTGATTATCCATAAAATCCCGGTATGTTTTAAACAAAGTAATACCCTAAAATAAGGTTTCTTAACTTCAATAACAATCTTACTTACTTTACATTGTGATGACGCTTCCGATTCTCTACAATAGTTGACTGGTGCCAAACCGGGTAGATAAAATCCATAGCACACATTCAAACATATCAAAAACCACCAATGATTAACACTATTCAATCGTTTGTGCAAAAACATTTTGTTTTTCGTAGTGATTCCTTTTCGCTTGAAATTAAATAGAAACGATATTTGACAATGATTCTTTGTAACTCGTAAGAAAATATATTACTCGTTCAAGTCATAGATTGCTGTGTATTTATTTCATATCAACGATGTGTATTCTCATTTGATGTGTCATATGGATTTTTTGCACAAAAATATGTCGACACGAGAAATGAAACAAATAAATTATTTCTGGTTAGTTTTTTCTTTCGCTTCTTCTTCGTTCACTTGAATTTCACACAAACTGAACTAGTTTCCAACAGTGACACACCGACTGATTGTATCGTCGAATGCAATAAATGTAGATGTGGTTAAATGAAGTCAAATATAGAATCAGAATAAGAAGAAGCTAGCGAATGGTGTTGACAGCTATGTCGCAGGGCTGGCCAAAACGTCAAACACAGTGAGTGAGAAAAATGATGATGTTTTAAAAAATCAACCAGCAGCTATTGGGCACTATATCGATTTCGTTACAAATATATTGAATGAATAATCACAGTTTTAGGTGTTTTTTTTTGTATGTAATAATCAATAATGATTTCACATAAAATTATATTTTTAATGCTTTACACATATAACAATAATAATAATAATAATAGTAATCACATTCATAAGTTCAAAAACGATGTATTAGTTGACCTGCTCTTTTGTACGTGTTATTTTAATGTTTTTATTTTCATTCTCTGGCTTTTGACTTTTGAAGAAGTGGTAACAGTTTTTATTTTAAAATTGATCAAAAAAGTACCTATTTAACGATTTCTTGTTATTGTTGAATGGTTTCGGATTGCCCCACAACTTCGTTCAATCATCTGTCTCCCAATGAGTTTGATAAAACAGTTATTGAATTATTTTTTTTCCATGAATTTATCCCAAAAAACGAACAGATATGAAACGCTCTTTTCATGAAATATTAAGAACAATTTTTTTTCGTTTTTTTTTCTTTCTTGTAGAAATATTTTAGAATCAGAAAAATGGTAAACATCCAAAGAATCAAAAACATATGTGTTTAACAAATATAAGAAAAAAAAAACTAGCGATGTATTGACAATTGACATTTTTGTAGTTACGACGACGGCACATTTTTAATTATCAGAGAGATTTTGTTTTTTTTTTCTTTCAAAATAAATTGGCAAATTTAATGTTTTGAATATATATTTCTTTTAAACAGGCGATTAGTTTAAATACATTATTGTGGAATTCATTTGAATTCATTTCGGGAGAGGAGTTTATATGTCAAATTTTGTGTATGATTTTTAGATAAACGTAAAAGACTTAACGATTATATTTCGAGTAAATTATAATTTTTTTTTATGAATAATTATTTATTATTTTGCTGTTTTAGAGTTTTAAAATCATACGGGGAAGCCACATCCGAATAAATTAACATTTCTTGAATATTCAAATTCCTTTCTTCTCCTGTGAATTAAACTAAAGTCAGCTGTGAACGTCGTTCACGAGCCATACAGTTGCTTTGTCGAAACCTATTCTAAAGTTTGATGATTTTGATTAAATGTCTTTTTTTTTCTTCTTTCGTATATATGTTTATACCAAGAATTACGTTTGTTTTTTGTGCTGCAGTATTAATAAATGAAAGTATTTTTTAGCTGAAAATGGAAAAGATTTCCTCAAAAATCATTGCTCTTCCAATTAATCATATTTATTTCGAACACCATTCAGAGCAAAATAACGAATTCAAAACTTTGAAAAATGTTACATTCATTTTGCTTGTTCAACATACGATACACATGTTTTAACATTATGAGTAGTAAAAATTATACTTAAAGGCCAATTCGATAATATTGTTGGCAACTGCACATTTTTGACTTTCATTATCGAAACTGTGAATTTTACTCTTGTCCAAATAAATTGTTATGATCGACATTTTTTGAAATTGTCACAAAAAATGCCCAGCATCGCAATTCGTCTTTTTCTTTTTCTCAATCGGTAAGAGGAAACTTTCAATGGTTGTAATAATATTCTAATGTATACTGGTGCACGGTTATAAATTGTAGCTTGCAATGTAATAAGTCATCACTAATTATAGCATATCAGCTATAGCTAACTATTTACGGGCCGTAATTTAGATGCAAATCGTGCCTAAGAAATCCCTCGATTAAAAATTGATTAAGTTCTGTTGTTGTTAAGTGCAATGTTTCATTTTTTTCTTCAATTCTTTTCTCCAAATAAGAAGATGTCTACTTCTGATACCTAAGATGTTATGACTTATTTATAATACGGTATCAATCACCTTACAATTAATAAAACAACAACTTCTAATAATTGTTCAAATGTTCAGAGCAATTTTGCCTTGAACGATGCTCCATAAAAAGGTTTTTCCATGACTATATTTTCTAAAAATTGTTTATTTTTCCACAGTTAAAGACTAGCTAAAATGTTGCTTCCGCTTTTTTTTATCTCTTCATTTGTTCATCTTCCAGAACACAACCAATGTTATCAACCATCTTATGATGTTGAATCATTCTCTCGAAAAATGATACGATTAAAAACGACGTAAATAAAGTTTGACCCCGAGAAGATATGAAAATAAAAGCACGAAAATGATATATTATGTGTTAAAAAAGAAATATCGAAGTCTTGTTCACGTCCATTTGTTGTGAAAGGAAAAAAGGAATAACTTTAAATTACCCCGATTTCGTGAAATTGATAACTGTAAATTTGAATGAAACACTGAAAATATCTACGGCTTATGTTAAAATTCAACACATCAGTCTCCCAAAAAAAGAAAGCCTTCTTTCGAAATGGAAAATAGAATCGGAAACGAAGTCTGAAACGATTGCATATTGCAAACTAATGATATCGGTTAAAATTGATACGTTAAATATTTACTAAGCAAACAATGTTTTAGACCTGTATTATGATGAAAATCGCAGAAAATTACTTTCTAAACAACTAATAATACATTATTTAAAAGAATGGAATTGTTATTTATTTCTTTAGTTGTTTTGTATACGCGAAAAAGCCCAAATCTTCATTTGGTTGTCTTATTTAAAATGCACTATTGTTACGTTAATTAGAATGATTTAGTTTGTTGGTCCAACACTGTTGGATGGATGTGCATTTCGGTTTTGGAAGCGGCTACACACAGGTGTGGTTGTTTGTCCTTTTTATCAACCGCACACCTAAAGCGAAACATTTTTGGGAAGAATCAGTGCGATTGGTTGTTGAATGTTACATTATTTAAATGTTGATCGTTTCATTGTTTTTTTTCTCTTTTCTTTATTTTCTGAATATATGATTGTTCTTACACGAAATACTGAACTCATTAATTTTAATATGACACAGAAAAATAGAATATATAGAGCTTGGGTTTTTTTTTCTTGTTTAATTCCACATTATTTACGAGAATTTCGAGTTAGATAGTAAAGAATTCAACACCAACACAATTAGAGGAGGCTGAATCTTTGTGATTCTTTCTTCAAAATACATCTTACAACTGACTGACATAATAATGATGGAAGGTATACTGCTATGTGTAGGTACATATAATTTGGCAAACGAACCAATCTCACATCGTTTGCACAAAGAATAATATGATTTTTCTGCCTTTAAAAAGTATATTCTTAAATGTCGAAATTGGAAGTGGGGGAAGTACATTGACGAAAAATTAATTGAAAAATATGTGCCGCTGAGCATAAGAATGGGAATACAGATCTGTTACAGTAACAACCGAACATAAAATATTGTTCCCTAAAAACGTTACATGAATTTCTATCCAACGCGAGTCTAACATGAGCTAATACTGTTTCTAATGCAACTCATGTTACACTCGCGTTAGATGGAAATTCATGTAACGTTTTTTGGGAACAATATTTTATGTTCGGTTGTTGCTGTAACAGATCTGTATTCCCATTTTTATGTTCAGCGACACATATAATGTTGCGAGTTGTCCAGACACAAACAACACTTTCTCTCGCTTTTTCATACACTTTGATTTTATCGTATCAATTGACATGAAATAGTACAACACATTATTTTCTTTCTTTCTCTTGTTTTACCTAGCAGTTTTTTCTCTATAGCACTTGGATTCATTGTTTTTTTTTTCAATTCCATTTCGTTTTATTTTCGAACTATTATAGCCGAAGGGATTTATTTGAAAACCAATAAAATGATTGATTCCATTTCAATTTGGATAGAATGACCAGAAACTGATTCAATTTCGTGTTTTTTTTGTTGTTGTTGTTGTCAGGAATGCAATTCGAATGAAACGTATGGCTTTCTGTTTATGGATCACAAAATACTTGCACATGGAAATAAGTACATTTGTTTGAAGAATTTAATTTGGGCAAAAAACGTCACGGGCACACAGGCGTGCTTAGTTTTTTTTTCTTTTCTTTTTTCTTAATAACTTTTTTTTAGTCAACTTACGCTATTATTATAATAAATTTAAACAATTTCAAGGACAAAATTTTGATAATGATACACTTTGTTGCTTACTAGTGTCGATTTGCTGATCATCGAAGAAAAAAATGTGTGTGTTTTAACAATTTGAGACAATAAGTTTTAAAAATGTAGTCAAAAACTTCCTCGTTTTCCAAATTTATATATATAGTGTTCTTTTCATTTCTCAATGGATTTTCTCATCACTAACATTGAAATCAAAAGAATTACATTTTTGAAAGAAACAAACGAGAAGAGAATGAATTTATCAGTAAGGTTCATGTCAATTTCTTTGAATACTTCACACATCATATTATTTTTGCGGATTGAATTGAGTGAATCAATTGATCGTTGCTAAGAAGAAGAAAAAAAAAATTATACGACAATTTAACAAGTGGTTTGTTTATGCGGTTAGAAGAATGGTATTGTATAGTTCGAATATATATATATGATGCATTTAGTAAAATTTAGCATTTACATGGCTGGAGCATGATCTGGCTCGTGTGAATGGACGAAGCGCATTGTTTCCTCGAAAATCAATCGTTTGAGTTCATCGCGTGGCAAATCATCCAGTTCCATATCCAGTCGGAATGGGCTGTCGGCAACAGGCTATGAGAAAGAATATGAGAAATTTGTTTTTAAATAAGTCGTTGGAATCGTTGATAAATGTTCTTCATTCAATACACTGAGAAAAGGCTGGAAGGAAATATTCCAACCATGGTAGGACAATTCACAAAATCGTCTGCAATGACAACATTTACAACGCAGGGTTGGAATATTTCCTTCCAGCCTTTTCTCAGTGTAGCATTAGATGTCTATTGAACATACCTCATCCCCTGGATCGTAGTACTGTTCCAAATACGGATGTGCCAAAGCATCTTCAACCGTAATGCGATTGTGTGGATTAAATGTTAGCATGCGGTCAAGTAAATCGAGTGCATTTTTATCTGCATTCGGGAACAACCTTGTCCATGGTACTTTTGGTTTAAATGGCAATGACTGGAGGTAGCTTCGTGCCTAAATATAGAAAAATAAACAAACAAATTCAATCAAATCAAATCAAATACAATGGAAAATAGTCCAAAATTTTCGGAAATTTAGTCAAGAGAGTACTGAAAAAGATCGTTTAAAATGTAAAGCCGAAAAAATTTACTGTCCAATTGATTGCTACTAGATTTTCGAAAAAAGAAGAAATCGTTTGTTGCCGAAAATTATGAAGAATGAAGGGAAAGGGCAAGAAATGGGCAAAGAAATCGTGGCACTCACTTTTTCATTTATAATACATTCCAAGTCGTCCTGTGATGGAGAGCCCAATACACCTAAAATATGGTTCAATTGGTCCAAGTAATGCTTCCCGGGGAAAATTGGTCGATTGCTAAGCATTTCCGCTAAAATGCAGCCAACGGACCAAATATCAATTGATTTTGTGTAACCCTATTTGATGAGAAAAGCAAATGTTAGGTTTTATCAAACAGAGAAGGAAGGAAGAAAGGGCGAAAAGTCTTTAATGAAGATACATACCTTTGAATTCAACATAATTTCCGGTGCACGATACCATCTTGTGGCCACGTACTCGGTCAGAAATCCAGTATGATCGTGATCAGGATCTGCTACTCGAGCCAAACCAAAATCACAAATCTAAAGAGTATAAGAGAAATGTCTCATTAGTAAACGACTCGAAATTGATAAAATAGATGTGACCAATAGTAAAGCTCTAGATTAGAATAATTAAGAATGATTTTAATTCCATAAACCAAGTGATACACAGAAGCATACCTTCAAATCACAAGTTGTGTTTAGCAGCAAGTTGCTCGGCTTCAGATCACGATGTAACACATTGGCCGAATGTATGTATTTCAATCCACGTAAAATTTGGTACAAGAAGTAACATATATGGTCATTGCTGAGACGTTGTGTTTTCAATAGTTTATATAAATCTGTTTCCATGAGTGCTTGTACGATGTAAACGTCCTTCATTTGATCTATGCTATCCACCCGTAAAATATCTCTAATATCTATAATCTATTGGTTAGAACACGATGAGCAATGATCAATTTTCGTTTAACATTTGGTGAAGCAATAGAAGAAAGTGATAAAATGGGTGTAAAATCGTTAGACTTACATTTTCATGTCTAAAACGAGTTAAAATCTTGATTTCCCGTAAGGTTCGCTGACAATAAGTCTGATGCTCAAATGGTGAAATCTTCTTAATGGCAACTTTTGTCTGTGTCACTTCATCATATGCCGATCTGAAAACGGAAATATTAAAAATTTGTCATCAGTTTGGTGGATATGTATGAGTTCATATAGGCATAGTGTGGTGAGGCTAGTCATTCTATTCCACTACAATCACATTTTAAATGTCCTCGCTTCATACGAAATTACACATTAACTATCGATAATAAATCACTTCCAAAATGTGTCAGACAGATACAATATGATAAGGCGAAAGAAAAATCGATTATTTCCATACCTATTATATTGATTGATTATTGGTGTTATTATAGTACGTCAAAATATTTTTATTAATCGCTTTTGTATCAATAGAAATTTATCTGGTTGGTTAGCAGTCAAACTGATATGATATGATATGATATGATATGAGTCCTATATTTGGCTTTATTGAGCTACGCTCATCAGACGATGACACCAGCGTTCTCTTCAATAAATCAAAATAGAACGATGCCTGTGAGCGTTATTTGTTTGATATGACAAAGCCTAAATAAACATACGCGCGTATCGAACATCTGCATTCAAATTGAGTAAAACGAGCAGCTTGCATCTTATATCATGTGATGACAGAGCATTCAACGTTGTGATTGCGTTAATTGCTTCGTTTTAATTTGCGATCAGGTGGAACGTTTTGCGTTGGGTCTTGAATCATTTCGTGTTGAACTTGAAATGTTGTTTACAAAATGAGATTCATTTCACAATAGGGAATAAAATTGTCCCTACGAATCATTCTTTTTCTGACGCTTATTATATCAATATTTGATTGTTGGTTTTTTTCTCAATATCCAACATACATATTATCTGAGCTCTCCAATTGAACATCATTCATTATTCATTTGAACATTATTTCAACCCCCTAATGACACACACACACAATTGATGTAATCTATAGCAACAGCCATAGTGATGCCATGGTTCATTTTCAAATTAAACAACCTGATTCGAGCTATTTCATAGTGTAAATGGCCTCCTACATGAAAATTCCAGCATAAAGGAAAAACACTCAACCATCTGGAAAGTTAGCTCCCCCCACCACTGTACTACCTCACTACTATCTTATTACTAATTGAAAAGAAAACTTTCGTCAAGTACTTACACAACCATCCCGTAAGCACCTTCGCCAATGTAAGCTAGTTGCGCATATCTCGGACCAACTTCAAAAGCTTGACCACGGATGATTTCACAATTTGGATTGGCGTTGTTTCGGGCACGTTGTGCAGCGTCCGGATTGGCGATACCATTGCCACCCGGACCATCGTTGCTAGCTTCATTAATTCGTTCCATGTTCGTAACGTTCCCACGGCTGTAACGCAAATTTATTTCAATCTTTTCCCCACTTTGGTGTAGTCTTTCCGCCCGATGATGCCACTAATCTACACAAAATATGAACGAAAAAAAAAACTTGTTTCGTAAATTGAAACCATTTTTTTCCTAAACAACTTTACTTCTTGGTATTCATATTTTAGGGTGTGTAAAGTGTGTTGAATTTCATTGCGAAATGCATCATTGAAAATTAAATTTAAATAGATTAATTTCGGTTTGCACAACTGGATTTACCATAACTGAACAAGCAAAAGCACTTATCAACGAATACGCCTAAGGTGTAAACGAGAGGGAAAAACATTTGTTGCATTTGAGAACAAGTGCATACACATTTTTTTTTTCGCTATGCATTTGCTTTGTACATCATCTTTTGTTTGCAAGTTTGAAAATTTTATAAACGAATAATGGAATTGAAAAAATATGTTTTTTTCAATATGAAATATCCACCAACCAAAAAAAAACTCGGCACAATATGATGCTATGACTGACACACACACAAAAACATAAATGAATAAATTAAAATTGTGATATTTGTCTATTGTTATCTCTTCCTTTCTAACACATTGCATGAATAATTGCAAGTTTGGAACGGATCTATCGCAAAATCCGCACAATGCATGCCGTATGCATTGAAACTCAATCGAATGGACGATGAATGAAAATTATTAACACAAAACACAGCTTATTACCTGGAAACAAGCACGAATCAATTTTTTTTTAATGTGGTGTCCTTTTTCACACGAATCACTCCATTAGTTGACAGATTTGATAATGTATGTCTTTGGATGCGTATAGCTATGCTTCTGTACCAGAATTAGTTTTTTTTTCTCTCTTCTCTTCTTTTGTCGTATACCGAGTGTGTGTTTATACGTGTGAAGTTATCAGCAAAATGGGCATTTGCACGGCCCTGCAATGATGTTGAGCAGGTGTCTCCCTCTCGATAACTGTCAAATGAACAACAAAACATTGGAAACGAGATCCAAAATATACGGAACGAACGAAGTGTTTACAATACAGACACTTCATTCACCAGTTTGAAGTATCAAAGTTTGCGGGAGAAAATTATTGGTAAAAATAGATTTTATTCTAGCTTTTTATTTCAATTGGATTTTTATTAAGTGATTTATTCAATTCTTTTTCTCGAATCACTAATCGGTGCATCTGCAATGTTGGAATTATAATTTTTGCACCTGATTTATTGTGTATTTAGAAAGTACAAAGTCCACATACTTTCAAAACATCTGAAAATTATTAGCAATTCCATATTTAGATAAATTAGCAAAAATTCGTAAAATTTGTTATCGTTTATTGTCATTTCATTTTCTTTAGAAAATGTTAGCGGCAAAACAATGCTTTCGACTCAATTCGATGCGATGCCTTTCGACATCGGCGATGAGACAGTCGAAGCTAATCAGTTCATCTTTATCAGTTGATGATAGAACGGGAATCGCAACGTTGGAATTGAATCGGCCACCGGTAAATAGCTTGAATCAACCATTGTTACAGGAAATTTCGACCGTATTGACTGACCTCGGTAAAAATAAGTCAAAGGGGTTGATCTTGACATCGGTTTGTAGAATTTTTTTCATTCATAGTAATTGTGTATCATTCTGGAGGAACTAAAGTCAATCAATCTGATCATTTTAGTCATCACCGTCGGTGTTCTCAGCCGGTTTGGACATATTGGAAATGTATAAACCAGATCCGGAGAAAGCGAAATTATTCTGGACTACATTACAGGAGGTTTGGTTGAAATTGTATGGCTCATCTTTTCCAACAGCCGCTGCTATCAGTGTAAGACCTACTAAAGAATCCTTAAGTTTTCATTCCAACACTTCTTCATCCCAAAAGAAGACTTAACTAAACATTTGTTCCAAAATTCCCAAAAATTACACAGGGTCACGCTCCAGCTGGTGGTTGTTTGTTGGCTTTATGTTGTGAATACCGTGTGATGTGTCCAAAGTTAACAATCGGTTTGAATGAGACTCGTTTGGGTATAGTAGCGCCAGTATGGTTTCAATCGTCCATGCGTAATGTGATTTCTGTTCGTGACACCGAGAAAGCCCTAACCTTAGGCACAATGTTTTCAACTGATGAAGCATTAAAGATTGGTCTAATCGATGAAGTAGCTGCCGACAAACAAGACGCAATCAAACGTTGCGAAGAATTCTTACTGCAATTTTCTAAGGTGTCATTCGATGCTCGAGCAATTACGAAGAAAAATTTGCGCGGCAAAGACTTGGCTGAACTTGAAAATAACCGTGAAGGCGATCTTCAAACATTTTTATTCTTTTTGAATCAGCCCAAAGTTCAAAAAGGCCTGGAATTGTATTTGCAAAGCCTTAAAACGAAAAAATCATCCTAAGAAATAATTGTTTTTGTACAAAACTGTTCTTTAACCATCTATTTTTAATAAAGAAATGTCTCAATTTCACTTTTTCACATGTTCTGCAACAGAATTTTATTTATAAACAACAATACTTTTCACTATATTGATTAGAATTCTTGGGTAAAATGAAAATTGCTCGGAATTCATTTGAATGGAACTTTCTATTTATATTTAGTGGAGAACATTCACAGTTCTGCATTTTTATATTTATCTCATGAACAAGTTTGGTCAAGTACAAAAAATTAAGTTCTTGTTAAATAACACAACATCCATATTTTATTGGCCAAATCGCTCAAGGTGCTTCAGTGACTTTTAAAAAAAGTTCCCTTTGCCTGGTGATGGGATGAAAACATATCTTGAGAAAGAAAAAGAAATACGGACACTTTAGTCAAAGATCATCAAATTGGCCGCTTGACTTCACCTTAAGGCAATTAAATGCCATGGCGAACTTTGTCTGTGAGCCACGCATTGATACGATCCGCATTTTTCAAATCATTCCACGGATCGTTATTGGCAAAACCATTCATGAAATTCGCATTCCTGTAAAATATTTTTGCATTAGTCTTTCTTCTTCATGTTATGTGCGTGAATAAATTGGAACAACTTACGTTCTATTGGAATCGAGTTCATGTGATCGCCTACGACCCTTGTTAACATTGGCGGAAGAAAATACTGTTGGTTTGATTCGATCTTCGAACGTGTCATAATTAGTCAGTCCAAATGTTTTCAATGCCGAGACTTTTGGTTGTGGAACAGTATTTGGATAATATTTGGAGGAGTTTTCTCGGCTATCAATCGAAATCGGGCCGAATAAATCTTCGAGATGTATCGTAGCTAGAGAGTCTGATCTGTACTTTGATGATTTCACTTTGTTGCTTCAGAAAAGTAAAATGAAAACGAAAATGTGAAAAAAATGAACAATTCAAAATATTTCTATATTCAACGTCAAATTCAAGTTATAAATATCAAGAGACTTACCCCAAAAGTTTATCCAGCTCTTTATCTTCGAACGCATCCTGATTTTCCCGCATAACTGCGACACTTTTCTTCGGTGGTATTTTTGCAGCGCTGCTCATTTTAACCAACAAATAGCCATTTTCCTCATCATCGCCTTTCGTCTGATCAACAATGATTGGTTTCACAATTCGTTGCTTCGAGAAAATGTTATAGATTTTTGAATCTCTGTTTTCATTATAATTATTGCCCGAATTATTTTCATGTAAGAAAAATGTATTGTTCTTTTGTAAATAATCTTTTTGCCAGGTACTGTTTTCCACATTTTCATCGACACCATTATAGATTTTGTTATTGTAAATGCTGCTGCCACGGTTGTCATACAATTTTCCGATGTGTCGATTGACATAAATATCACTAATTTTTTCACTGGGGAATGGATTTTGTTCAATAATTCGGCTGTTTCGACGCTGATTTATCCCATTTACAATGTCCTTGCGTTGATGCAGCTCATTATTGGCTTTTGAATAGTTGAACGTTGATTTTAGTCCATTTGTATCGTTTATGTGATTTGGTTGAACGACCGATGAATTTTGTGAATTTCGCGTTGTTACAATCGATGAGAATCCCGTATCACTTGTATTACTTGTAAACGGATTTTTATGATTTAGATCAATGCTAGCTACGTCGTCCATTGACACTTCTGACTGATAATTATTATTTAATGAAGTTGTGTATTTATTTAGATCGCCATTAAACAAAGTAGAATTTATACCATTTTCAGGTTTGTTCCGTTTCGGCGATAGATCCGCATCAGTCAGATATTCGGACGTCGGCTTCGTGTCGTTCATCGCTGGTTTAATGCCATTCGTATGCCGATAAAATGAATTGAATTGGTCATAGTGTCGATTGTTGATTGCCGTATCTTTTAGATAACTACTTTCCGTCTCATCAAGCGATGCATGTGATATGTGATCATCGTGAAAACCTTGATTTCGACCATGCATCGGTTGCTGCTGTTGATGTTTGGCTAACAATATCGAGGGAACGTGAATTGGGTCCGATCCACGTTTCGCTACTTGAAAAAACGAATACTTTAATGCTTGCTGCGCACTCGGCCGTTTGTCGGAGTCCCATGACAAAAATTCATTCAGTAACTGCTGACCGGGATCACTAGCTCGAGGTATAAGGGATTTCAAATCGACTTTTTGACATTCTGGGAAACGAAACTGGATAGCGGTCGCTAAACGGTATCCATCTGACCATTCACTCTGGAAATTGGGCAATTTCATTTTGGCATGTGTTAGAGGTCATTACTCGAAAGTATGATGCGAATATATAATTGTGAAATGCGTTAAAAATACCTTTCCTGGTGTACCCAACACCGAACAGATTTTGAATAGTTGATCAACTTCGCTGCTGCCGGGGAAGAGTGGACGAAATGTGTACAATTCAGCTAGAATACATCCCATCGCCCACATATCGATACCACTACCGTACCGGGTTGAATGCAATAGAACCTTGAAATAGCATAAATAAGTAATGTTTGACGTAATTTGAGCCATGGTATTTTAATGGGAATCTACCTCTGGCGCTCGATACCAACGTGTTGAAACATAATCGGTGTATGGTGGCCGAGAGCGTATCTCTCTGGCTAAACCAAAATCAGCTATTTTTATGAGTTCAGGTCCACAGCAGAGTAAATTTTCAGGCTTCAAATCACGATGGAAGAATCCATGACGATGCATAAATGCTAGCCCATTTAGAACCTAAACCACATATGCAACAAATTATTTATTCACGTTGAATGTATGCTAATTGACTCAAAATTGGCTTATTACTTGAAACATAATATTTCGAATGGATCCTTCAGGAAAATGCGTATCGCGCTCTTTGATTAATTGATACAAATTTTCCTTCATGTGTTCGAAGACAAAATATAAGATATCATTTTCACGTATGACTTCCTTCAATTTAACTATATTGGCATGCGATAGTTTTTTCAGCGACTGAAATTGCGTTTCAAATAGAACAATTTTCATCATGAAGATATGAAGAATTTATTCTAATTTTCTTATGAACCAAAATGGGATATTATTAACTGTTCACACAATCTTTTTATTTTCAACACAATTTCAACTAGTTTTTCTCACCTTAACTTCCCTCAAACTCATCGCCTCGTCCCACGAATAGTACTTTCGTTTCATTCGTTTGATGGCCACTTTTTCGCCAGTGTCTTTGCGTTGACCAAGCATTACCGTGCCATAGGTGCCATCGCCCAATGGCGATAAAATCATGTAGCGATTCATTTTTCGGCCCACAAAATTGGTTTTGTTAATTCACTTTTCGGAACATTCAAGCACCATCATTTTCTATACGGATTCGTAACTGTTTTTCCGATGGTAGCCGCTCGAACTTTTTTACTTCATATACCAACCGAATAACCTATTGATGTACTTAATTTTTTTCTAATGCACATTGTGAATAATTCAGTAATCGATAACTTTGCCATTGGACGTTTTTATTTTGTTTTTGCGTTTTTACATTGTCTGAAGATTGAAAATTGTATTCCGAACTTGTCACAATTCGATCACATTGAAACTAAACTATCACTTGAATATCGAATTATCATATCAATAATTTTGAAACACGCAATATGAAAATGGTCATAATGGTGCCAAATACACTATATTTATTGATTTTAATATTCATGCACGAGTTTGTCATTTTACTATGGGAAAAAAACTCTTTAATGATGCCATTCAGTCAACAATTTACAACTGATTAAAATTCTAATTACTAGTTTTGTTATCGTTTATTTGATCAACTTGATGATGTTTTTATTTTGTGTTTATAATATTTACATATATCCGTGGTTTCTTTACGTGTCCTAATAATCTACCATTTTAGTGAGTTAAAGTCTTTTGAGAAAGGTTGTTTTTTGGTTGTTTTATGTTTGGAAATTGATTTTTTTTCCTTTGTCGGAACACAGAGTCTTCGATGGTCGTGTGAAACAGTTGTTTAATGTGAGTTTTATGTGTTTAATTCTTTAATTTTATACTATGTGTGACTGAAGGTTATTTCACATACGAATTGCAAATCGTTTCTGAATTCCAATTAGAACTTTACTTACAGAAAGGATAGCGCTTACATCGCATTTAATTGCATTATTTATCCCGTTGTTATGGCAATTGTATAACGTAAACTGAACGTAAGTGGCTGATGTGACAAGTGATTTGGAATGGCGCAATCTCAAGAGACCGTTATTTATATAATGCGTTTTCTTGACACGATTTTTTTTTATCGAACACTTGGAATATTGATTCTTGCACCGAAAAACTTTTTTTTCATTAAAGTAATTTCGAATAAACTTCAATTTCGATTTATTTTCTTACTTTTTCAATGGCTTTATGAAATATATCTAATTGGTCAATGTCATGGATACACATGCATGTAGTGGCCCTGATTGCTGTTTGTTCAAACCCACGAATAATATGACATTTTTCTCTATTTACAATGTTGACGATTATAGTAATTAATCATAGTTGAGCCTAGTTTGAATTTTTCATTGAAATCCTACCGGAAAAAAAAGGTTAACCTTGTTCTACTTTGCACATTTGGTAATTTCTCATAGATTTATAGCGTTGATTCCAACAGAAAAATTATTTAATCAATTAATCAATTCAAAAGATATATCGAAACTCCTTTGGTTAAACCATTGATAACGGCATATTTTCGATTAAAACTTTTCATTATAATACACGTCCACACAAACCGTCAGCCATATTGCTGATTGGGACCACATAACAATGGTTATACCGCGTGAAGTTGGCTCCATGCTCAAGTGTGTTCAAATTTTGTTCTACATTTCCATATATTCCAAATGTCAGGACTGGATTTGACAGAGCAAAAGAACGGTCTACGTGAGTTCACGAAATTTTTCGCTTCACTTTGATTGACTTTCCTCCTCGGGTGACAGATCATGTACATCTATTTGTGTGAATGGTAGTGCGTATTGCAAAAAAAAAGGAAAATAAGAATGGAATATTCTTCTTTAATACACTGCATTGTTTAGAAAACAAATGGATACGCATCGGTTATTACAAAAGCAGCGACAACTAATTTCCGATAGGAGATTTAGGAAATTGAATTGAAATTCAGAGTTATTGTGCGAAATGAACACTTCTGTATGGTCTGAGTGAGAGAAAAATAGTGGTGTAAACAAAATTGTATGAAGTAAATAAATGGTGCTTTTCATTTTGACCGTACATGCAGTGCATTCGAAATAATGAGAAATTTGCATGCATTTCCAATCGTACAAATGGATCAATCTTCCGAAGGGCAACATTTGCACAAATTTTATCACCAAGTACTAAAACGAATATAGGGGGAAAAATGAGTTTTTTCTGTGCGACCAAATTTATCGTCAGTGTTTACATTGTGCAATGCATTCTGTGTATGAAACCATTATTCACCGAATCCGAATTATTAATCAATGTGCAAAATCAGGTGAGTTATCAGTTGCATGAAATGAATCATTGCTGTAAAGCGATTTATCTAAAAAGACGTATGCACACTTGATATCAACACCTGTGCCAAAGAAGGAGTTTGACTAATAAATTTTGATGCGCGTGATTTTTCTCTCTGAAAATTAGATGAATTTCAATTATTTCCACTTCAGTAGCAACTTGATGTTAGAAATGGTTATTAGTGTGCAATGACTTGAGATTAATTTGGCTTAATTTTGACAGGGAGGTGAGGTAATCCAGGAGACAATAACATCAAATTTGGACGATGACTCAATTATATTGGAATTTCAACGCACAGACGGTACTCTGATAACACAACTTTTAGACTTTCGAAATGTAAGTAAACAACATGTGAACAAAAAAAGAGACAGAAAGAACAATAATCACTCGTTAAAATTCTTTGGTTCCGATAACAGGATATTCAAGTTTTGAAAGCGCTTGTTCTGGGCGAAGAGGAACGGGGTCAAAGTCAATATCAAGTCATGTGCTTCGTGTCGAGACTTTCGAAAAATGACTTTATTTCTACAGATGCTATGTCTAAATTACGACAGGTGAGATTTTTTTTCACCATTTTTGATTTCCTTCAATTTGAAACCGTCGGGATTTTGAATTATCAAAAGACTCGATTTTATAAAGTTAGAATTGAAAGAGGTCAAATGTACTCATGCCTATGATTCAACTAGTTTGAAGTCTAAAATTATGTTACTATAATTACTTGACACAATTCATGTGACTACTTTGAATTCAACACTCAAACTTACAATTCCAATGATTTGCAGAAAAATCCCAGTACAATACGGCAGCCGGAAGAAGACCGGGGTCGTGAGAATTTCACAATGACCGCTTGGGTGAATTTGCGCCAGGCAGCACCGCTTAGTCAACACATTTCAACTCTGTGCACAGAAGCTGCAGACTCAACATATATTAGTGATTTTGATATAAGAATATTAGCATCAAAACCGGGTTAGTATATCTCATAGTTCCAAGAACTGTGTAATCAATACTTTTTAAGTGTATTATCTAAGACATCTTCCTTTTTTTCCCACTGACTAACATTGAAATGTCCCATTCTTTCCATTCAGGTGCATCTGTATCGAAACTAGAATTAGCAATTTATCCATTTCCAACAACGCAAACCACATTATCTACATGCAATGCAGTGTCTGGCCTGTGGACACCATGTACTTGTTTGCTTGAGATGTGTATCGGTTGGTATCCGTGCGGGTTGAAATTCTGTAAAGGCAAAATTGATACGGGCATCGGCAATAACGCCAGCTATCGATGCGGCATTAAAACGTGCCGAAAATGCTATCAATATCTGTATTATGTGCAGCAAAAGCAACAATGCTTGTGGTATGATTGACCTATTGGTCGATATTTGGAATAATTAATTTAACTTCAGCATAAATTTGACAAGTCTAGGGAATAAGTGTACATTTCTAGATATTTAATAAAACTATATGGAAAACGGAGCAGGAGTGTTAAGACCAAAGTATTTCACAAGTCAAATGTAACAAATAAAGTCAAGTTAGATTTGTAGCTATGAGTTAATTTTGAAATCATTCGAATTTGATTAAATTTTTTATTTTAGGAATATTTTTTTCTGATTTTTTTACTTTTTGTTCTCTTTGTTTCAAAATTCCATGGCAATGACAATGCATTTTATATTTGAATTCTTATTTTATAGACAAATTTCTTCTACGCTTGTTTTCATTTTTAAACTGATATCTTCAGTATGAAATGAATGTGTGATTTGTATGATAAAACTCGTAAATTAAGTTAAAATCGCTAGAAAACTGGATATTCATTCGGTTCGGTTTTAATATCATCATTAAGATGATATTTCACAATTTTCTACATTTAAACTCGTTTTTTTTTCAACATTGAAACCATTTTTTCAATTTGAAATTTGCTTGATTCGATACTTTGATAGAATCTGTTGAAAGAAATATAGTTCGTCATGAAGTAATGTGTTTAATTTCCAACGGTTAAAAATCATTCAATCAATGCATTCTACAATAAACCTTTGAAATTATATAAAACTGTAAAAATTAAGAAATGCAATAGCTTTACCCGATTGAAACCATCATCAAGTATTTTGAGCTCAAAAGCTGAAGCTATTCTATGGATGTATAAAACACTTTGTGACGGAGTACATAGTAAAACCCATTGTTTTCGCAAGAGAAATTCGCTTTGGAAAATAACTCAAAATTTCAATGTACTTTTTCATTCTGTTTTCCGTTTGGAACTCAGCATATACCGAAATTTCAAACCAAACACTGTCAATCTTTTTTACGTTGGCACAAAAATCTGCATCGATTCCACATCAAGTTACCATAAATAGAATATAGCAAATGTTTATTCAATTATAATGAAAAATATGTATTTAATCAAACCGTGGCCTTAGCTCAATACAGAACGAAAAATATTGTATATATAAACCAAAAAGATTCATATAAAATCTTGAATAAGAATGTGCAAATACAGAAGAATAGCTTTAAGCAACACATTTTTCTCACAATAGGAAAAGTGTACAATTACACGCATTGTATACAATTGTATTCTTTCATAAGTCAGTTTGTACTTTCTAGAAACTATTCTATTCATCAAAACCATTTTTCCAGAGGTTAGTTGCAGATAAATTTATTTATATAAATTTCAAATATCAAATAAATTTATCCGATATTTTTCATGCGTTGTGTTGTTCTGACGCATTCGTAGTACATAAACGAAACATCGGCTGTTGTATTGGCAGCCAGGTATTCATCGCAGGAATGAGATTTTTGTTTTGTTCATTAACCGATATTTGTGAACAAGTCTGCCACTGTGTCACTACATAGTATATATAGTCCAAAAGAAATGTGCAGAGACGAAAATGTTCGCCATTTAGTTTTACATTGCCAATACATTAGTTATGGAATTTTTTTATTTTTTGTTGTTTGTAAACAAATCTGCATATATTTTTGCATTGTCCCTACACACTTCTTATGGACATATACTATGTACAGTGGCAATGCAAAAAGATAGGCAGATTTGTTTGCAAACAAAAAAAATAAACAAAACAAAAATCTCTATAACTAATGTATTGGCAATGTTAAAATAAATGGCGAATATTTTCGTCTCTGCAGATTTCTTATGGTCTATATATACTATGTAGTGACACAGTGGCAGAATTGTTGACAAAGAACGGTAAATGAACAAAACGAAAATCTCATTGCAGCGATAAATAGCTGGCAAATGCGTTAGAACAACACGACGCATGAAAAATATCGGATAAATTTATTTGATATTTGAAATTTATATAAATAAATTTATGTGCAACCAACCTCTGCATTTTTCTTATACGTTTAAACCATTCAGTTATTTTTTCCTATAAAAATGCACTTTAATAATAAAAACTAGTGAATATTCATCGTTTTTTTTTAAATTATAGTTCAATGAAAACATTGTGTGAATGATGAGCTCAAAATTATTGCTTTTTGTGCACATTTACGAACAACCATTCAAATAGATCATTTTCCATTGACTAAATCCAAAAACTTTAGTTTCAGATTTGTCTCGTATCGAAAATAAATAAAAAGAATGAAAAAAATTCAACAATTCTTGAAAAATAATCTGATAAAATCTGGCTTTCTTTAAATGTATCGGAAATGAATAAAATAAAAAAATTCAATGGAAATGAAATAATACTTGAGACAGAAAAAAAAACTCCTACATTTGCGGAGTGGAACAAATTAACAGTAATATTTGTGTGATTGTGCCAATGTAAATACGACTTCAAGCTAACGAAAGAATGTTATGATACCTAATTTCTGTATGTTCTTTTCTCTTCACACGAATACTACAACCTAGAAGACTGCATTGAAATTTTAATTTTATGAAATACAAGAAACATTGAGAAAAATATAGTAAATCAAGTTCGGTCTTGTCATTTTAAAACGATAGTTGCAAATGTTACAATTTCGATTTGAATTTGAATGTAAAAACCTTTTTCCATTGGAACTTTGAAATGAAATAAAACTAAAGTGGTTTGAAATACCAATAGAGTTGTTGTTTTTCCTAACTTCAAATCAAAAGTAATAAAACTTTGGCCGGAATGAGATGTAAAATGTCCGATTCAACTTAACCCTTTATCACATTTCGGTTTCTAAAGTAACCAGATACGCCAGACGCTATAGCTATGAAACCACTGAATATTTTTACATTCTTGTTTGGAAACAAATGTAGGGAATTGAACTAGCTTTCATTTGATACTTTACAGGCTACAATTGGCTGGCTGAATGGAAAGTTTTTTCTGTTCATGTACTGCTGTAAAAAAAATGCGAAATTATAGCAGAATTCCACATTTTTCCTCCTCTTATCTTGTGGGTTTGTCCATTCTTTTCAATTGTCAAATTAGGACTCGTAGGACCAAAACACATCAATTTAACTTTCTGCATCATTAGTTTTATGAAATTTAATTTTTTCAAGCTTTTATAGTGATTTGACACTTTTGACTCTTTTCCGATTTTCTCGACAAATACGCAATTTTTCAAAAATCTAAGTATGAGGTTTTTCTCTATTTATCGTGGCACAAAACATATATCAAAATGATTCAAAAACAAAAAATTGTGCATCAAAGGGTTAATGTGAAGAATGACGGCGTGCAAAGCAAATATGTCGCTCGGGGCAAATACCTTGCCTGCCTCATGCTTTGCACGCCACCGGTGAAGAGTTCTCATCAGTGGCTTGTGCTTCTAAATCTGGGTTTTTCTTAGAAACGTGTCTCTGCAAAGGGTCCATGAAGAATATAGTCCAGTGAATGCAATCACTCTCCAGCCAACACAAAACCAGACGTGAGTTTGACAGAACAAAAAGAAATCGAACGATTTTTTTTATTGTATACTGAGGTGTTTTGAAAATGGAACAGTTATATTTATGCTCAATGCTTGAATAATATTTCTATGTCACAGAGTGAAACTCTTTCCAGTTGAAAAGTGAACTTATCTTTTCTAATTAACAAATTATACCGCATATACGATCTATATGTTTACGTAGGTTCTTCGAACTGTGTGCTTTTTCTTAGAACCAAATGCCTCCCATTTTGTTCCCATTGTTTCTTCCATGAATAGATGAGTATTTGGAGTTGACTTCGGATATCAATCGATAATCTCATATTATAATTTCATTTCGCTTCATTGAATATATTTAGTTATATATTATGGATAATGTACCAGTTTCGGTGACAATAATATCTGCATCCCTATTTTATACTTGATGACAAATGTTATAAAATATTCAATTGGTTAAATGGATTAATGGATGATGCTGGAAATTTGGAGAAACTTCTCGCTCAAGTTGGAATCAGTATATATGGCCCAACGTCCATTGAGGACGTAATTTAAATTAACACTTCGACACAGGAAATATTCAATTATAATGGTACTAATGTTAGAGGTATAATCGCTTTAGTTGCGCTTCAGCAACAAAGCTTCATAAAATTAGTTTACAATCAACTTTTGTTTCGGGTGGATTAAATAAAATAAATTTCTGAAATGAATTTGTAATCGTTTGGTTCTCTCGAACCGCAAGGAAATTTATTGAATTTATTTGATTCACACAGAGTGTGTGACTTTTTGTATTGCCTCCTTCTTGTTCCGAATGAAAATGCAAAATTTTTTTTTATGATTCCATTTGATCGATATATTTCGGCTTATCAAAAGCCATCTTCAGGATCTAAAATGAAATAATTTTTCACAATTTATCAATAAATAACCTAGATTTCGTGTGTAAATAAATTAATTTACCAAGAGCCAATTGACTCTAACACTGTGAATCTAATTTTCAATAACAAACAATGCAGCGAAATGTCAGAGTTTTCACTCTGTGTGAATCAAATAAATTCACCGTTCCGGCAATACAACATACACAGTCCAATTGGATTGTTTTTTCAAATTTATTGAACTTATCACTACTAATATGTCACTTGTTTACGGGTGGCAATTTCGGATCGATCAATATCCTGTACCATCCCAAAGCACCCGACGATCCTCTTTTGGTTTCAATCGACTCGGCTTCTGCTCTCCAAGTGCCCATGATCATGCAAGATATCTCCACCGACAGAACAATTCAAATTGACCGTCGAAATCAACGAACCGACAAGATTTTTCAATTGATATACCTGCCACCAGATCAACTGATTGAACAGTTCCATCGAATTGAGAAACTACTTACTTTTTATCGCATTTTCAATTAACAACACCTGTTCAACTAGATCGAATCGAATCCATTGTTGTTCCAAGTGCAAAACCGATATCAAGTTCATTACTTTTGGTTTATAATACTTCAAGTCACACGTTAAGTGCATACATTTTATCAAAAAATTTAATTCAGCCGGCGGATCTGATTAACTGCATTTTTGTTTGGTTCGATTTATTTGAGCGATTATTCAATGCATTCGCTCTTGGATACACGCATGAAAGTGGACCCATTTGAGGCGTTGGCTAAGCGAGATGTACCAATTTATTTGAATGGCTTTGTTTCAGCACAAATGGATTATATCACGGATATGCTTAGGTAATTTATTATTAGAGTAACTAAGTGAAAGATTTCAAAAGTGAGGAGGGTCTAATGTCGTTTATTTAACTTATTTTCTCTGTAGTGGGAAACTTAAAAAGAAGTCTAATATTTCGACATCAACAAGTAAGATCGACCTAGATAAAGCAATGGCAATCGTTCTACCTTCTGTTAGTACCGCATACACTATGAGAATGCTTAGTAATAAAACAAAAGACTATGATATCATTAGGGAGCCTTTGGGTAAATACATAATTTTCCATAACAGCTACTTTTGTCTGTACAACTGCTCGTTTTAGGTGCGGTGTACACGAACTTTCACTTAACAAGTGACGGTTATATACCTGACCAAACGATTGACAAATTTGATAAAGTGATGACGTCATTCAATGAAAATGGTTTGGGTGTATTTTGGTATAAGACGACACTATTTTGGCAATAATTTTTATCACGAATGACATTTTAACTGACACTATTTTGGCTTTCAATCTGGGCCGGAGCAGAGTCCAGAACCGATCGATATAGAGCACAATTTAATGTTAAAGCGGTTAATGTTGATTGTTGATGAATTTTACTACCTTCTAGTCATTTATGTTTGTACCTTGATATGCATCACTATCGTTTTCGTGATTGAAACTGTTTGGTCACGTATTCTGTCGGTTCAAGTAGGATCATTGAGTGTGTTTCATAGAAGACATGTACAAAGTGGGCAACGCAGCCAAATTCACGTCGGTTGCCTATGCAGCACAACAACGGAATCTAAATACACGCAAACAAAATTTAAATTTCAATTATAACTGAATATAGTCAATGTTGTGATTTTTTATTCCATAGAACACTCTTTGATTCCGTTTGACAACAATGGAAAAATTTAATTAATCCAATTTTACCAGATCCATTTTGTTGATTCCATAATTTGACGAACAAATAATGTTTATTCACTTGACATGACTATACGCCCTTTCTTTCATCATTTATGTACGTCGAAATTCATTTGGGACTATTTTTCGAACAAATGTGTGTATCTGATTATAATGGGATGAAAAAAAAATAAAGACACTGAATTATCGGGATGCAAACTTTTTATTTTATTTTATAAAACTGATACAGAAAACAAATGCATTTTTTCTGTTCTTCATTTCATTTTGCGATGGTTACTTGACTTTTACCACTACTTTGCCTCTCAAATGTCCTTTGGCCACCTTCTCAAATGCTTCTTTTGCTGCATTAAAGTCATAAGTCGAATCGATAATCGGCTTCAATTGGCCATTTTCGACCAGTTTTCTCAAATATTCAATGCCTTGCGGTGCTGGTATGAAAAATCCCCATTTCAATAATCCTCTTTTGCCGTGAATTGTTTTTACATTATTTTTGATCAAAGTCAAAGCGCTTTTGACTGATCCTAAAATAATGCCACCTGAATCAGTGTCATTCAGAAGCGGTGGCTGTAATGTGATATATTGACTGAATTTCCAAGGGAGGCTTGTAGCATAATCGGCACCCAATCCAGCAGCATCTAAAATTATATCGTAAAACTGTCCACGAACTGCTTCACTCACATTCTCTGTTCTGTAGTCGATAACACGACCAGCACCAAGTTTCTTAACTGTTTCAACCGAGTCTGTGCTACAGGTGGCTGATATGTTCATTTGTTCGGCTTTGGCTATTTGAACTGCTAGCGTACCAACTCCACCAGATGCACCCAAAATACAAACACTTAGTCCTTTTCCACCTCCTAAAATGCATTACCAATGGGATTGGATTGCATAAATGAATATTTCGACTGAAGGCTTTTATAACAAACCTCTTGATGTTAATGCTCCTCGCAGACCTCCAGCCAATCCAGATAAATATAAACTTGACCAGGCTGTCAAACCAGCAAACATTATCCCAGACGCTCCGACGTCTTCAATATTTTCTGGCTTACGGACTATCTAAAAATTGTCCAATTTGTTGAAGTTTGAATTATTGTTACATTTTTTCTTATCTCAGAATGATTTTCTCCTGACTCACAGTCTTTTGATCTACTATAACATATTCTGCAAGCGATCCTGGTTGATGTGTGGGAACGATTCCAAAAACTTTATCACCGACTTGAATATTTTTTCGCACAGACTTTCCTTTTGCTTTGACAACACCAGAAAACTCTCGTCCAAGAATCAAAGGGAATTCTTTTATCTTTTTCAAATGACGAAGTGTATTCAACACTCGTTGACCATAACCCGCTGAAATAGAAAATTTCATCAAAAATAGTGCTTATGATCAATTTTTTTTTCAATGAACCTGTCATGAGTTGATCCAAAGGATTGATTGATGTGGCAATCACTTCTATAAGCACTTCCGTTCTCGACTTGATCTTTGGAAGTTTAATACTATCATTGAATTTTAGTGCATTAATGCCAACATATTCGTTAATTTCCCATCCGCTCATTTGATCACTTTCAAATTTGTGGGAAATTTCTGTACAAAATGAATCAAAATGACGCACAAATTAATATTGATTCACATTAATTAGAACAAATAAGGTTTTATGAACGAATATTTAGGTATATTTCAAAGTCAATTCACCAGAAGTCTCGAGTCGATCACCCAAAACTTGGCTGTGGCCACAAGTTATAGCTACAACCAAAACTAGCATTAATTTTGAATCCATTTCACTTGTACTTTTCCTTCGCACTTTGACACGTTTGCTTCAAATGTCTGATCTTACGACGATGAACTTTGTTTTTAAACTAAGATTCCAAAATATCAAGTGTTTATTCCACTTATTTATTACCACATTTCTTTGATTTCATCGTGACTTTGACTTCTTTATATTTTATCGCTTTGTGTTGATTGACATTGTTGTCGCTGACGAAAAGCGTTCTGATTGTTTTGAAATACTCTTTATCAAATCATTGATAACGATTTTTAAATTAACTACAAAAAATTTCTCGTTCGAAATAGAGTCGAACACAAATGGATAAAATTTGATTCTACTGCTTATTTGTCGATGACATTATCACGAATGAATCGTAGATTCAATGAAGAGCATAAAGTAGCCATTTGAAAATCACTTTTTGAATTGTAGCCAACGTCTAGTTCGTACGAAAAATCAACAGCTCTTTTGTCACTCTTCGTTTTTCGTCAATTCGTACGTATTCATATCTTTTAAAGTGTCTTTTTGAACAATTTTTAATTTTGAAATCCAAAACCATCTTTCAAAGCAATGAATACCATCGATGTTACATAAAAATTGAGAGTAAACCGAAAATTTTTTACTTTTCCATTCAAAAGATTGGTTCAAACAAAAGCACACCATTATGGCCTTAGATCGTGATCAAAATAAGTAAATAGTACAAAATGAAATGATTTTTCAAAAGATTCATATTTTAATCAACATTTGTTTTATACAAAACAGTAAGACTAACTGCATTTTGTGAACTAGCTTATGTAAACTGCACACAGCCAATTCATTCGATGTACGTGTTTTCGTAAAAATTTAAACTTGACAATTGACATCAATACGATTAAAATGTTGTTTCAGTTATTTTTAACTTTTATAATAATTTTCCCACGCAAATGACCCTTGGCTAGCTTATCGAACGCTTCTTTCGTTTCATTGAAGTTATATATCGTATCAATGATTGGTTTGATTTTGCCGCTTTCGACTTGTCGTCGAAAGTATTCAATGCCTTGTGCCGATGGCTCAAAGAAACCCCACTTCACCAATCCTTTGTAGCCGAAAATGGATTGAATGTTGCTTTGTAGAAGATCTATGGCACTATTAATGGTGCCGAAAACGAGACCATTTGCATCAGTATTGTTGAGAACTGGAGGCTGTAGCGTGATGTACTGGCCAAAGCTCCACGGAAGTGTTGTAGCATAGTCCGATCCTAAGCCAGCAGCATCGAGAATTATGTCAAAGCTTAAGCCACGGAATGCCTCTTTGAGATCTTCTTTTCTGTAATCGATAACATGGTCAGCGCCAAGATCCTTGACCATTTGCACAGAGTTCGTGCTACAAGTGGCGGTGACTATCATATCTTCAGCTTTGGCCATTTGAACCGCCAGCGTGCCAACTCCACCGGATGCACCCAAAATGCACAGACGTTTTCCTTTTCCTCCGCCTAAATAGGGATTGAGTACAAATATGGTTAGTTAATGGATTGAAACATTGTAAAGTAAGGGAAAAAAAAGTATAAGAGACTCTCTCAAAGAGAGTAATCAAAAATACTAGCAAAAAATGAGTCAAACGAATTTCGTTATGAAAAATCGAAATCAGATGTAAAAAAACGATTTTTTACGACCAACCGACTAAATCAGAAAAACTCAAACTAGCCCAAGCCGTCAATCCTGCATACAGTATTCCAGCTGCGCCAATGTCATCGATGCCCTCTGGCTTTCGTGTTATCTGCAAGTGAATAAAAATGCTTTTTAGTCAATGATAAAGTTTAACCTTTGGTCATGCATGTGAACAACGGAACAAAGTGTTTACACTGATCAAAATAAAAATAAAACGAATGTCAAGACTCTTACAACTGATTGATCAACGACGACATATTCGGCAATAGATCCCGGCTGATGTGGCGGTACAACTCCCCAAACTTTGTCACCAATCTGAATATCTGCGCGCACTGACTGACCCTTTGCTCGAACAACGCCACAAAATTCTCTTCCCAAAATTAATGGGAACTCATTAATTTCGCTAATCCAACGAAGCGTGTTTAGCACTCGTTGTCCATAGCCCTCTAAAAAAAATATCAAGTGATTCTTGTAAGATTGCTATTTTTCTTGTAAAACATAAAGGGTGTGTTTTGAGAATGAATGATGAAATTATGAGAATGCAAATCATGTTCAAGTTTGAAAAAAATATAAGCCAAACCTGTCATGAGCTGATCAAGCGAATTAACGGCTGTAGTGTAAACTTCAACGAATACCTCATCTGACGATCTAATTACGGGCAATTCTAAATTATCGCTAAATTGAAGCGAATTTATTCCACCATATTCACGAATTGACCATCCACTCATTTGATCTGTACAAAATGAAATAAAATGGCATACAAATTAATATTGATTCACAATAATTTAGACAAATATGATGTTATCAACGATATAATATGTATATTTCAAAGTCATTTCACCAGAAGTCTCGGAACGATCACCCAAAACATGACTACAGTCACAAATTATAGCTACAACCAAAACTAGCATTAATTTTGAATCCATTTCACTTGTACTTTTCCTTTGCACTTTAACACGTTTGTTTCAAATGCCCGATCTTACAACGATGAGCGTTGTTTTTAAACTAAAAGTCCGAAATGTCAAATGTTTATTCCACTTAATTATTAATGCGTATTTGGTTCCGACAATTTTGTTAATGCGACTTTGACTTCCATTTTTTTTTTCTTTCTTTGTTTTGATTGAGTTTAAACTGAATTGTTCGTCGCTGACAAAAGGCGTCCCCATTGTTTTGAAATACTCTTTATCAAATAATTGATAAGGTTTTTTGGACAAAAGTAAATGACAAATTTTCGTTCGAAATAAAATTGAGTTGAATGTGTTTAGTGCTTATTTTTCGATGACATTATCACCAATGAATCGTAGATTCAATCATATCTCGTATATTGGGAGTTTTTCGATTGCCTATGTCATCTATATGACTTTCAGGCGCAATGTATTAGTATATGTTTGACAGCTTAGTCAAGAACCATTTCTAGCAAAGTTACAAACAAAATTCAGTTTGATATAAGAGGTATGGATTCAATGAAGAGTATGAAGTAACTGTTTAAAAATCACATTTTGGATATTAGCTAATATCAACCAACACTTACCTTGTACCAACAGCTAAATTTTGTCACAATGAATACCATCGATGTTAAATAAAAATTGAGAGTAAACCGAAAATTATTTACTTTTCCATACAAAAGATTGGTTCAAACAAAAGCACACCATTATGGCCTTAGATCGTGATCAAAATAAGTAAATAGTACGAAACGAAATGATTTTTCAAACGATTCATATTTTAATCAAATTTTTTTTTATACAATACAGTAAGATTAACTGCATTTTGTGAACTATCTTATGTAAACTATGACAGCACACATCCAATTCATTCGATGTACGTGTTTTCGTAAAAAATTAAACTTGACAATTGACATCAATACGATTAAAATGTTTGTTCAGTCATTTTTAACTTTTATAATAATTTTCCCACGCAAATGACCTTTGGCCACCTTATCGAATGCTTCTTTTGTTTCATTGAAATCATAAACCGTATCAATGATTGGTTTGATTTTGCCGCTTTCGACTTGTCGTCGGAAGTATTCGATGCCTTGTGGTGCTGGCACAAAGAAACCCCATTTCAATAGTCCTTTGTAGCCGTAGATGGTTTTAACGTTGCTTTGTAGAAGGTTTATAGCGCTCTTGAGGGTTCCGAGAATGAGACCATTTGCATCAGTATTGTTGAGAACTGGAGGCTGTAGCGTGATGTACTGGCTAAAGCTCCACGGAAGTGTTGTAGCATAGTCTGATCCTAAGCCAGCAGCATCGAGAATTATGTCAAAGCTTAAGCCACGGAATGCCTCTTTGAGATCTTCTTTTCTGTAATCGATAACATGGTCAGCGCCAAGATCCTTGACCATTTGCACAGAGTTCGTGCTGCAAGTGGCGGTGACTATCATCTCTTCAGCTTTGGCCATTTGAACCGCCAGCGTGCCAACTCCACCGGATGCACCCAAAATGCACAGACGTTTTCCTTTTCCTCCGCCTGAATAGGGATTGGGTACAAATATGGTTAGTTAATGGATTGAAACATTGTAAAGTAAGGGAAAAAAAGTATAAGAGACTCTCTCAAAGAGAGTAATCAAAAATACTAGCAAAAAATGAGTCAAACGAATATCGTTATGAAAAATTTGCAATCGTAAACAAGAAAAATCAGGGAAAGAATCCGCGATTAACCTTTTGACGTTTTCAATCCTTGAAGACCACCAGCTAAACCCCAAATATACAAACTCGACCAAGCCGTCAATCCTGCATACAATATTCCAGCTGCGCCAATGTCATCAATGCCCTCTGGCTTTCGTGTTATCTGCAAATGAATAAAAATGCTTTTTAGTCAATGATAAAGTTCAACCTTTGGTCATGCATGCGAACAACTGACCAACATGTTTACACTGATCAAAATAAAAATGAAACGAATGTCAAGACTCTTACAACTGATTGATCAACGACGACATATTCGGCAATAGATCCCGGCTGATGCGGCGGTACAACTCCCCAAACTTTGTCACCAATCTGAATATCTGCGCGCACTGACTGACCCTTTGCTCGAACAACGCCACAAAATTCTCTTCCCAAAATTAATGGGAACTCATTAATTTTGCTAATCCAACGGAGCGTGTTTAGCACTCGTTGTCCATAGCCCTCTAAAATATCAAGTGGTTCTTATAAGATTGCTTATTTTTCGTGTAAAACATAATGTGCGTGTTTTGAGAATGAGATTTTCGAGACAAAAAACCATTCTCAGAATGCAAATCATGTTCAAGTTTTAAAAAAATATAAGCCAAACCTGTCATGAGCTGATCAAGCGAATTAACGGCTGTAGTGTAAACTTCAACGAATACCTCATTTGACGATCTAATTACGGGTAATTCTAAATTATCGCTAAATCTAAGCGAATTTATTCCACCATATTCACCGATTTCCCATCCGCTCATTTGTGTTCTTCCAATGGAAACGTTTGGCAAATCTGTTAATTAAGAGATTATTACTACTCGTCTGAATTTTGAACCAGAGAAGGAAAAAAAGGTCAGTTTACCACCTCCTTTGTTACAAAATAACGCTACAGCTACTCGCCAAAAGAACCCAAACCACAGAAAATTTGAAGCATCATCCAAGGTAGCCACATAGAAAAGTTATAATTAAACGTATGTTTTAAATACACCAACACCCATTATTCTACATCTAAGTTACCTTTTGATTTCCAATATTCGGC